GAAGGAAGAGCAGGAGAGGCTGCTGAAGGTGAAGAAGTTGATGATGATGATGATGAGGACTCAAAAGAGGGATATGTAAGTCCCGAGGATCCTTTCCCACGTGAAGCCAGAAGGAGGCTAACGGAGGAAGATTTGGACAAGGATTTTGACCCGAACAAGGAGGTAGGGAAAAAGCCTTAGCTTGTAAATTTTGCTAAAGCTTTGGCTGTGTTACCTCTGCTAACACTTTGACCTGTCGTATATATAGGTCCCTCCTAAAACTCGAAAAAGACGACGTCGATGTCCGTGACATCTCGCTAGACAAGACAGAGTAGAGGAAAGGAGAGCAGAGGCAACAGCCACAGAGACGGATCATGATGCCTCTGCTCCACAACCTCAAGACACAACCACGACTACCAAGCCTAAGAGGAAACGAGGGGATAGAAAAGCAAATCAATATCCAAATAAGGCATGCTATGTGATAACGGAGGTCGAGCCAGCAGGGGAGATCCTTGAGCCAAAGGAATTAAGAGGACAATTCCATAATGCTATCGGGGCCCTAGTAAGAGATAAATTAAACCCAGCAATCCCTAACTGGAAAGAGGTACCAGAGAACAAAAAGGATAAACTATGGGATAGGCAGCTGAAGCTCAATTTTAGATTTCCGAAGGGTAAGCACGAACTGGTAAAAAATGCTTTTAGGATGTTGGGAGAGTCATTCCGATGTTGGAGGTTGGAGCTCAACAAGAAGTATATCCAAAAGGGGTTAACTACCTTCAATGAGTTCGGTAACATAACTCCTAGTCAATGGGAGGAGCTCGTGGCTCAGAAGACTTCACCGGAGGCATTGGAGCTCAGTGCCCGTAACACCGAGCTAGCGAAGAGGAACAAACACCACCATCATCTAGGCCCCGGTGGCTACTATGCCAAGGAAGAGCAGTTTAGAAAGATGGACGAAGAGGCCGCAGTTGCTGGGAATATCGATGTGATGAATTTGAAGATACACTCAAGGAATTGGATATATGCGAGGAGTATAGAATCATCCGGCGGTAATCTTAAGTTTGATAAGCCAGAGACCCAAGAGGCAGTATCAAGGATACTGAAATATGCTAAAGACAAGGAGAATGGCTCATTCAATCCTTCTAGAGAGAGGGATGAGCTTAGCCTTGGCTTGGGAAACAAGGAGCACATAGGCCGCACCAGGGGGCTAGGGAAAAGGATGACCTGGAAGCAAGAATTCAAAGAGGACAGGCACATGTATAAGAAACATGGCAGAGACCGGGAGACTAATCTTGAGCTCCAAGTGAAGGCTCTAGTTGCGAAGGCATTGGAGGAGCAATGACTGTCTACGGAGCCACGGATATTAATGACGCCGCCGGGAGAACTGGCATTAGTTGGCAGCCCTCCAAAAGTTCCTAGCAGCCAAGGTTCCACTACAGCCACAACCCCCATTGATCGCATACGGGAACCAACTAGTTGCACCTTGGTGTTTCTCAGCAGCCGACAGAACACTGTGATGGAGGTCGCAACGGGTGTGGCACATCCTCCCGGTGGCTTACACCACAATAATAAGATACCGCCGAACTACACTAGGGTCGAGGTGCATACCGTGAAGCCCAAGTTCATGCAGTGGAGGATAGACTACGCAACTCCCGAGGGGCTGGTGTTACTCAGAGACGTTATGGGGCAGTTCATCCTCTGGTTTAAACGGGACATTATATTGACTGCTTCTTCGCCACATCCCCCTCTCCCAAATTTGGAGCGACTTGTTGAGGTCGGGGTGATATTTTCACCGTCTCGTGACCACCACATTCCTGAGATGCCACATTCTTCCCCGCCTCCTAGCGAGCATGTGCCTGATGAGATGCCACAACCTTCTCCAGCTCATACCGAGCAAGTGCATAATGAGATGCCACAATCTTCTCAACAAGGATAGCCGATACATGAACAACGAGTGCCTCCTGAAGAAGGTGATGCACAAGAAGATGAGGACATGCCTGAATGGGAACTTCGAAAGAAGCATCCAATCACCATAAGGCCGGTTTTGTTCTGATGAAAGACGTCTTGTCAGTGTCCAAGTGGTATTCCCATGACCAGTTCAAGCCTGAGAACCAAGTTAAAAAAGTCCCATCACGGGGTTCTGAGGGGGCTGTCACTAGCAAACTCCACCAAATTGCAAAAGCAGTATCCAAATGTTGATGCCATCAAATGGTCAAAGGATTGTTCGAAAATCATATGAAAGAGGCAAGCCCTTTCTACCAAACCAGGACATCCAACGCCTACCACTTGGAATGAGAAGGTTCCATGATTGGTATTTGTGTGTTCTCCCAATGAGCATAGACCTCATACAAACATGCTTCCCCACCGGCACATTTGGAAGCCCAGCCGGGAAAATTGTCTTTGACTTCAATGACATGCAAACATGCTTTCACCTGGGAGGAATGGAGATGAATCTAATTCACACGTGGTGCCTGTAAGTTCTTGTCCTCCCGATATGATATGAATGTAATCTTAGAATTTTATTGTAACTAACCCACGCCGTGATTTGTAGAATGCAAGTGCACATTGTCAAACAAATGCCAAGTGTGAAAGCCGGGTATATAGACGCTCAAGCTATAGCCCAAACAAATTTTAATTACCCTAAACAGTAGAAATTGGATGCCAAAGAGCTAGCTGCTGCAAAGACTCTTTGGGAGAAAGAGCACATCCGTATGACAAAACTAAGGGAAGAGTTCCTTAAGGTTGCGGCATATAATCCCCTAGCTTTCAAAATTCTCCAATAGCACTCTACTATATGGCTACCATACAACTTCGAGTAAGTTCAACTCTATACTTAAAGCTTTGTTCGATATATTTTATTCGATGTCAAAGAGCTTATCTAGTTCTATGATTAAATCCATGCAGCAACCACTGGATTTGTATAGCCATCGATGTCGGGAGAAGCATGGCATGAGTCTTTGATTCAGTAGATAGGGACCCGATGATATACAAAGACTTCATATCGATTCTCAAGACGTATACATATCGACAATACTCATTAGCTTATATGTTTGTATACATACTTGTAACGTTCACTTTTGGATACTAACAAGTTGTATTTACTAAAATAATTCAAACAGGGCATTTAGGTTCTATGTCACTAACCATCACGGAAGGCATGATCCAGCAAGGAAGAAAAAGCTAGCTACAAAAACACTATATGCGGTAAGTGTAAGTTACTTCTTCAGTACTCCATTACATGGCTGTCAAAAGCATTTCTTAACATTTTCATATGCAAAACACATAGTGCCCCAAGCAAAAGTCTGGGATTGTACATTGTGGATACTATATATGTTCTATGATAAGTAACACCGGTGCCTACATGAGACACCTCTTAAGGGTAAGTTTGAACCTTTTCACCCATAGTATAAAAACTTCGTACATGGTATGAAATATTAAACCGAAACTTGTTTTCTTGTAGTGGAAAGAAGAGAAAGAAATGAAAAGAGACCCTCATACAAGGATGACCAACTCTTAGAGCTCGTCGGTGACCTTTGCAACTTCATATTGGACCAGATTGTACACATCAAAGGTGCCTACCATGACTGAGAGTCTGACTTAGGTAGAAATCCTCAGTACCAACATCTTCGTGAGACTGAAAGGCTAGCTCTAGGACGTTGATAACAATGTGTATGGAATTTAACATTGGTTTTACCTTGTAAATTATGTCTATTTAATGATAGATTGTATATATTCTTGTGAATTAGACTTGTAATTATAGTTTATATAATACTCTTGTGCTTGTAGTCTAATGGGTTCGAAACGCTGGTCGCGGTGCGTTCGGCAACGCGAACGCGGTTCGGAACGTTGGTCGCGGGGCGTTCGGCAACGCGAACGCTGGATGGAATACACAGAAACAAACAGTGTTATGGTCGAATTTGAATTGTAAATTTGATATTTTTTGGCGGGAAAACGTACTGTAGGGGCGGTTCTAAACTGAACCGCCTCTACAAACATGTATTATTGGGGTGGCTGGTATTACAGCCACCCCAACAAATCGATTTGTAGGGGCGGCCTTAAAACCACCCCTACAAATGCATGATTTGTAGAGACGGTTTGGTAGGGGCGGCTGGCCAAACCGCCCCTAGAAAGGGTTACGAGCCGCCCCTAAAAAACGTTTCTGTAGTAGTGTGGAGGAGGCCTCCGACCTATTGCGCACCATCGCTTTACCAGCATGTGTCGAACTAGAGCTAGGCGCCGTGTCGAGAATTGCCAGTTTTCCCAGGCGAGGCGAGAGATCATGCGCGGGAATGCGTGGCCAAATCGCCACTGCCACTCCACTTCAGACTGTCTCAAACAAGTGATCCACGAAGGCACCCAAACATAAAATGGGTCTTCGACGGTACTGTATCGGTTTACAACAGAGTATCTATATAGGAGACTTATTTTGGGTGTCAGAAGAGACACAACCTAAATTTGAGCATCCTCTCTCCTCGAGACCCATTTATAGAAAATATTCTCTTTTATGTTTTGTTGTTGGAGAAGACTAAAAATAAATATTGAAACATTTTTCATGTAATAATATATAAACTTGATATGTGTCTTGTGTTTTGGTTCCTATCGCCAGAGATAATCTGGCCGATGAAAAAGCATCTTGTGCGGTTGGTGATAATTATTACCTCTTCTGGCCGCAGGACGACGACGCAGGAAAAGCAAGGCAGCTGAAATAGGCATTTGCCCGGAGCATTCCCACGATCGCCTCCTTGTCGTAGTGGAAGTCATCGTCACCCACGTGGCCACGTCCTGACCGTGGCCGTGGCCGTTGGTAGGACGAAGAACGACGCTAGTGCTGGCTGGCCCGACCGGCCGGCGAGCGCGAGTGTCTCCAAGGCCGATCTGCGCCTATAAAACCTGCAGCTGGGTGGTTCCGCTGGGGGCAGGGTCTTCACACTTCAGCTTTCACAAGACAAAGCAACAACAACTGCACTGTTACAACAGCGTGAAGAGTGGCCGAGAGATAGAGAAAGAGAGAGCAAGCAAGGATGGCGTCTCTGCTCAGCCTGTACGGCAGCGGCGGCCGGAGGAGGATGAGCCGCGATAGTGGCACGGCGGCGCTGGTCAGGCGGCTGTTGAGGAGGCTGAGGTCCAGCTTCGTCCGGAGCACGGCGCGGCCGAGGCGAAGCGCGGTCAGGTTCGGGTACGACCTGCACAGCTACTCCCAGAACTTCGACGATGGCGTTGTTGCCTCGTCAGCTCCGGCGTCCACGGCTTGTGCGTAGCTAGAACTCCAGGATTCTAGGACCAGGATTCTGCATCTTCTGTGTAACTAACTATAGTTCTATAGCCAAGATAATAGTGTGGCTTAGTGCTTCCTTACTGAGAGATCGAGTCCAGTGCTAATTTCCGGTGATTTGCTGCTATCTAGCTGTAGGTTCGTCAGTTCATGTATATACAAGTTATTTCGTCTGTGTAAGTGTAATTAATTAACTATGCACAAGACAGCAGTTCTATGCCTGCCATAGATCAACAATCACCGTATTGCTTTGGTCAGCTGTTGGAATGGATGGATTTCAATCTCTTGGTTTCAGCTGCTCTGTATGCTGATTTATAGACTGATCGAGGTGACCGGCACAGCAGTTGCAACTGATAGATAAGCTTAGTGGTAAAACACTTGTATCTTATTTTTTCCTGCACTTTTACTTTCCTTGGTTTTTAAACCTAATGTTAGGAATATGCTCAGTATCCATTTTAGTGGTTAGAATATGCTGTAGCAAGTAGGAATCCCTTTTGCCTATAAAGAACAAGAGAGTGTCAATGTAAAAACAAGCCATTCATTTGCATTCAATCCAAGCGGTCAAGGGCCAAGCTGCCGTCTGATAGTTCCAGATTTAAATCTGAGATTTAATCGGGCCAACAATCAGGTATCAGAGCGGGAGCTGGAGCCAGCTGGAGGATCGCGAGCAGGCGCCGAACTCCGAGCAGGGCGCCGCCGGAGGCAAGCTGTTGTACACGATGGAGCAGTGGCACACCTTCAATAAGAAGAAGGAGGAAGGATCCGGTTCGTTCGGCTCCAAGGAGCGTCGCCGACGTCCACGCAGCGGCAAGAAGAAGGAGGAGAAGGGACCCCGGGGCCAGGTCGGCGCTGATGGCAGCGCCGCCGGCGAGCGCAAGGCGACCCATGATGACACCTGCAACAACTATGGCAGGACTGACCACTAGGCCAAAGACAGTTGCCTTCCTCCACGACACGGTGGGCAGGCTCACGTCGCGCAAGCAGAAGAGCAGGATGCCACCCTGTTCCTAGCGCACGGGTGCGTCGAGTTACAACACGACACAAGGGAAGGGGTGAAAGGTCCAAGCTTTCCCCTTTCCAGGTCAGCTGGCTCCATCGAGCTCCACCTCGATGAACCGCGCGCCCACGCCTTCCTCAGCAAAGGTGCCGCCGATGACAAGATCGACGGCTGGTACCTCGACACCGGTGCAACGCACCACATGACGGGTCAACGCGAGTTCTTCTCCGACCTGGAGTTCAGCGTGAAGGGCTCTGTCAAGTTCGGTGACGCCTTCGCCGTTGAGATCAAGGGCGTCAGCTCGGTCATCTTCAAGGCCAAGACGGGGGAGCACCGTCTTCTCACCGGGGTGTACTACATCCCGGCCTTGAAGAACTCCATCATCAGTGTCGCGCAGCTGGACAAGAACGGTTCGCGGGTGGAGATTGAGGACGGCGTGATGCGCATCTAGGATAGAGGCCGCCGTCTTCTCGCCAAGGTGAACCAGGAAAGCAACCGCCTTTATGTGCTCCATGTACATGTGGCGCACCCCCTCTACCTTGCCACGCACCGGGATGATGAGGCATGGCGCTAGCACGAGCGTTTTGGGCACCTTCACTTCGAAACCCTAAAGCAGCTCGGCAAGAAGAAGATGGTTCGCGGCATGACCTGCGTCGACCACGTTGAGCAGCTCTGTGACACCTGTGTGGTGACCAAGCTGAAGCGCTGGCCCTTCCCGCGTCAAGCATCCTACCGCGCCACCGAGCAGCTCGAGCTGGTACACGGCGACCTTTGCGGTCTAGTGTCACCGGCAACTCCTATGGAGGTCGGCGCTACTTTGTACTGGTCAGCGACGACGCCACCCACTATATGTGGGCTGAAGGACACGTGGACGCCTAAGAGGGGGGGGGTGAATTAGGCAACTTAAAAATCTAACTCACGACTATGGCCTCTTTTTCTACTTCTAGCAAAACCTATGCAAAAGATAATCTATCTAGATGTGCAACTACGGTTTTGCTAGTGTGTTGCTATCTCTACCGCAGATGATAATAATATGATCAATGTAAATGCGGAAGCTTAAAGAGCAAGGTAGAGATATGCAAACTCCCGTCGACGACTCTGGTATTTTTACCGAGGTATTGAGAAGCGCGCAAGCTTCCCCTAGTCCTCGTTAGAGCCCCTCGCAAGGAATCCCTCGCAAGGGCCAAGCTCCCGGTCGGGTAACTCCATGGATAGCCTCGGGCCTTCCCCGCAGCGCAAGTGGGTCTCCGATCTGCTTTAAGCAAGCCTCTCCCGGATGCTCCCGCCGTCTTCACTATCAAGCTTTTCAAACGCTTGCGTGGGCCTTGTTCCCTTTGATTACGGTGGCGGCCGCACCACAAACGCGGTTGGTGCGATCTCGCAAGACTTCAAGCCCCTCCGATGTACAACTCTTGTGCTCGCAAGCACGGGTGGCAAGAGGTATGCAAACCTCACTAAACACTAGGCATACACCTAGAGCAAGCGCATAAGCGGTGGTCTAATCAACCTAAGCACGCCGCCAAAGCACCCACGCTAATCACCGATGAAACACTAAGCACTTAGCAAGTGGAGATCACTAAAATGGTGTATCAACACCCTTGGTATGTTTCCTTAGCTCCACACTTCTCGAATGGCCGGTTGGGGGTTGTATTTATAAGCCCCACTGAGAAAGTAGCCGTTGGGGTCGAACTCTGCAATTTCGCTCATCGGCCGGACATTTGAGATCGTCTGACCGGACGCGTCTGGTCGTCCCGACCGCTTGCTGACGCCGCGAACTACCGATCGGACGACGCCGCGATGTCGAGTCCGGTCGCCTCACCGGACGCGTCCTCGCGCAGCCAGACGCTCGAACCTCTCTACTTTCGATCGGACGCTGTGTTCCTGTGTCCGATCGGTTGCCGCCAGCGTCCGGTCGCCTGTCTGCCGAGCCACCGGTCCAGCGTCCGGTCGTGCTTCCAGCGTCCGGTTTCCTCTGCGAGCTCGTTTCTTCGCGATCTTGCGCACGGCTTGGTTCCTATCTTCATGCTTGGACTTTGCTTGACATCTTGGGTCTTTTTCTTGTGCTTCTAAGGTCTTGCTTGAGGTGTTGATCATCGAGATCATCACGTCGCCTTTCGTCAAGTCACGTCTTGCACCCTATTGATGACAAAACAAACACTTGCAAATTCATTAGTCCAATTTGGTTGTGTTGGTCATCAAACACCAAAATCCAAAGTAAATGGGCCAAGGGTCAATTTTCCTTACAATCTCCCCCTTTTTGGTGATTGATGCCAACACGACCAAAACAAGCAAATAAATAGAATTTGGAAGTTAAAAACCACCTACTTGCTAGGTTGCAATGCAAAGGGCAAGGTTATATGATACTAATTGACAGATATCAATTAAAACTTTACTTAAAAGCATGTCTTGCCCTTGCAAATGTCCCCATGTGATATTATGGATTAAGGCCTATCTAAAAAAAAAATTCTCCCATTACTTAGACTAATCCATAATTCACTTTCCTCCCTTTCTTGGACCATTACCATTTGTAGACATCAACTTAATGCTTGTCTTTGGTCCTTCAAATTCTCCCCCTTTGGCATCAAACACCGAAAAGGAAGACATTAGTAGTACAAGGGAGGGTCAAATTTCGTGATCCTTTGTATAAAGAGTGAAATGGATCACAAAATTTGACTCTCACATTATATAGACTAAGCTCCCCCTAAAAGTATGCATACATATGGTGGAAAGCAAAGCATATGCATAATAAGCAATTTATTGCACAAGAGAGTTTAACCTATATAATGCATGGAGAAAGCATATAAAAAGAAATGTAATCAACATGATGATGCCAATTGAAGAACGATGCTTATCTCCGGGGACTCCATTTTCCTTGCAATGAGACTACTACACACATGATAAACTTGAAAAGGTGTTAGTCTCAAAGCGTCCATTTTATAGATGATCCTCCCCCTAAATTTGTGCATGCAAGCGTGGAATACTTGTAGTACTCATGCACATTGATTTTAGAATCAAAATACCATTTGAAGATGATATTTGGGAGAAAATTATCTACAATTTGGACTTTGGCACATATTAAATGAACAATTATAAGACAAGCTATGTGCCTTGTTTCTAAACAATTTTAAACTATGTAGGTTTGCTCCAATAGTTAAAAATGAAACCGAGCAATCCTACCATAAGATATACCTATTGTATGCATGGCAAATGATTTAAACATGTAAATGCAAACATAGGCATGAAGAGTAACTAGATGCTTAAGGATACCAATTGTAGGAAAAACTAATTTCAAGATGTACCAATTAAAAAGTAATAACATCTAGTTACCTAACATGGGAAGGGGAATTTGGGTCCATAGAATTCACTAACCCACTTGGCAATAACTTTGTCCATCATGATGCACCCCATGAAATGCACCCATACTTTGCCAAGTCTCCAAATTCCCTGAGGTCCGACGGACTTCTTACTTCCCTTTCGGGATCCAAACCTTCTTGGTGCTCTTCATGTTGGAAATGATTTCCTTTGGCACCCAAAAGCATTTGACCCCATTGTTGGCTTGCTTGTTCACCTTGATGGCCACCACCTTGTCATTTTTCTTCTTCCTCAAGAGATAAGGTGTAGAGGCCTTCTTGTCCACCTTGTTGGTGTAGGTGTTGGAGAGCTTGCTTGTTTGCTTTTTCTCCTTCTTCTTTGCTCCTCCCCCATTCTTTAGCTTGCATTCATAGGACTTGTGGCCTTCTTTGTGGCACACGTAGCAAACCACGATTTGTCCTTCATCAAGCTTCTTCACTCCCTTGACGGTGTTATCTTGAAGAAGTTGGGTTTGCTTTGCCTTGCCTTTCACTTGAGTCAAGTCCTTGGTGAGGCGAGCTACTTCTTGCTTGAGTTGCTCATTTTCTTTTACAACCTCTTGTGTGCATGTATCTACAATCACTTTCTCAACACACGCTTGGTTGCACAAAGGTGAGTTTAAACATAAATCATTGCAA